ACTCTCCAAGGAACCCGGCGCCATTCCATGACATGCTGTGCGGTGTTGTGTTTGGTGCCGCTGTGCGATGCCATGCTTTGCGATGCAATTCTTCACTGCGCAACGCCACGCCATGCTATGGCATGCTACGCTTTGCCGTGCTCTTCTGCGCCCTGCGATGCCGTGCTCTGCGATGTATCGCGCGCCCGTTCGCGATCATTGCCCTGCTCGACATCCGACGGTGCGAACAGAGAGGAGATCCGCGCCATGGTAAGGGATGGGAGGGAGGGTTAAGACGTCAGATCTGACGCAAGCGCACCTAGCTTTAAGTCGGGCGTGTCCCGCTACATGGGGGAACTTCGACGAACAATAAAAATACACCAAAAATGCACCAAACAGGTAAACAAATACTCAAAACATAATCCCCAGACTATTTTTGGACTATTTTTGGGGCATTTCTTATTTTTGGAGGGGGGCCCAGCGCCGATCCGAGACATCCGCGCGGACCTCCGAGTTTTTATATTTATGCCACTTCTGTTCCCCTACCCCCCTCTTCCCTCCCTGCTGCTCCTCCTCCTCCTCCCGCTGCTCCTTCCCTCCTTCGCCCCCCGCTCCTCCTCCTCCTCCTCCTCCTCCTCCTCCTCCTCCTCCTCCTCCTCCTCCTCCTCCTCCTCCTCCCTCTCTGCGGCCGCCCGACCGCCCCGCGCGCCTCCGCGGCGGGCGAGCGAGCCAGCGCGGAGAGGTGCGCCCTGCGGCGCCCTGCGCTGTCGCGCCGCTATCCCGGGGCCCCGCTGCCGCGGAGGTGTCCCGGGCCTCGGTCTGGGGCCTCGTCCCGGAGGCTGCTTCTCGGGCCGACCCCGAGGCGACCATGGAGTTACAGGGCAGTTTTTGATACATCGGATTTTTAAACATATATGATTTGTCATACATGATTAATTTAGGATTAAATTTATGCATGATCTGATCGTTGTTTTTAATACTACATCCCTGCATTTTTTATACATGATCCGCACGCGGAGCATGTATTACAAAAACTGCACTGTATGTTGCTCCCATTGTACTTCAGGACCACATCCCAGAAATAATCTCGAGCACCCAGAGAATTGTCGAACAAGTGTCGAAGCAGTGTCGGGCGAGTGTCTCCTGGGGCCTGACACGCGAAAGCCCTCGAGCTTCGGCTCTCTTTTGGTGCTCGACATTCTTTCTCGTGTTCCAGGCTAAAGTAGGTTGGGGCATCATAACTCTTGGGCCCGTTCTGGGCGGTCGGAAGCTTGAAGAGGCGGTAGCTGGCAAGATCTGCCAAACACTTGAGCATAGAGACGGCCTGGATGGGGTCCGAGTAGATGGTGTCGGAGGATCGCCCCGCATCGCCTGTGCATCGCCTGTGCATCGCCGATGCATGCGCGATGCATCGGCGACGTCGGCGATGCATCGACGCCATCGGCGTGGGCAAACTATGGCTCCACATCGAGCCGCACCGTCGATGCATCGCCGATGCGGAGCAATCCTTCGACCCTCCTACAGGCGAGTTTTGAAGGAAAAATAAAGAATAGCCAAAACAATATCAACAGTAGCCCAAAACAGTCAAAACACCGCCTCAGACAATTTTTGTGTACTACTTTTGAATACTCTCCCTGTAGAGGGACACGCCCAGCTGAGACCTAATTACTCGGACCCCACTTGGGGAGGCCCAGACAAGTAACAGCCAGGACTCGGCTATACGCAAGAGTGACCCTGGGTAAGAGTGACCTTTGGTGCGCGACTTTTGGGGGGGCCGCGGGGGGCCACACCTCGGCGCCAAGCAGCTGCTACTGCTCCGTTTCCAGCCATCTGGGGACCCACCTGTGCCCGCACCAAAGGTCACTCTTACGTCTAGTCGAAGCACTGCGGCCTCTCCGCGCCCTCTCGGGGCCGGCTCGGCCCCGCTCCTGCAGCCTGGGCTGCGGCGCCTCCCTCCCGGCGCCCCGGGGCCCTGGCCGTGGCCTCCTGGCCTTGGCTCCGGCCCCGACTTCCGGGCTCCGGCCCGAGAATCCCTGCGGCTGGCCCAGGAGGGGGTCCAGCTGCAAGGGGGGCGGCGCAATAGGTGTGGGGCCATAGTATGGCAGATATATTGCGCCAGAGAACGGCATTGCATTGTACTTCAACTCGTGTATGGCACGCGGAAATCTAGCAATACCTTGCGCACTCCGGAGTGTGCTACACTCCCCAAGCCTACTGCAACCCCGCAAATCTATTGCACCACCCCCTTTCAGCTGGACCCCCTTTTGGACCCCCCTTCTCGGCCTCGGCTCCAGACCCAAGGGGAATGTTGCTCAAGGTGCCCCTGGCCAAGGTGCCCCCGACTTCTCGCTCCGTCCTAGAGCCCCCGGGGCCCCCTCGAGCTGGTGGCACCTCCTTCCGGGAACTCTCTGGAGGCATGCCCGGATCGAGGTGCCACCAGCTCGACAGGGTGGGACAGCCACCCCCCTAGCTGGTGGTAGTGGTACTTTTGTCTCTAGTGATTTCAGCTGGACCCCCTTTTGGACCCCCCTTCTCGGCCTCGGCTCCAGACCCAAGGGGAACGCTGCTCAAGGTGCCTCTGGCCAAGGTGCCCCCGACTTCTCGCTCCCTCCTAGAGCCCCCGGGGCCCTCTCGGTCTCGAGACGGGTGCTCTGGAGGCCGTCTGGGCCACCCCCAGAATCCAGGAGGAGGAGGAGGAGGAGGAGGAGGAGGAGGGAGGAGGGGAGGAGGAGGAGGAGAGGAGGAGGAGGAGGAGGAGGAGGAGGAGGAGGAGGAGGAGGAGGAGGAGGAGGAAGGGGGGAGGGAGGGGGGAGGGAGGAGGAAGGGAGAGGAGAGGAGGAGGGAGGAGGAGGGAGGAGGAGGAGGAGGAGGAGGAGTAGGAGGAGGGAGGAGGAGTTACCAGAAGTACCCCATGGCACCCTGGGCCATGGGGTACTTCTGGTAACACCCGACCAGGGGGAGGCGGGGCTCCCTCCCCCGGAGCCCCAGAGCCCCAGAGCGCGGGGCGCGCTCGTTTCCTCGCACAAATGCAGGGCGGCCTCCACCCCCCCCGCCGAAAGGGGGACGACAAAGAGGGGGGGTGCTGAGGGGGGGAACGGCAGAGGGGAGCGATCCGGGGGAACGGGCGGGGGGGGACGGTACGGAAGGGCTGCTGAAATAAGGACCGCTCAAGAAGGCACGAAGCCCCCCCTTGGCGCCAGCACAGCCTGGGGGGGCACGCGGAGGCTCGAGGAGCAACAACGGGAAGACCTAGAGAGCATCGAGCCCCTTACCCAAAGCGCTCATTCTTTCAGCGTCTCGGCTGTAGCCGGGTGGCCCTGCCCCCTCCCCGTGGGCGGAAACGACAGCACGTATGGGGACTCTGGCCCCGGGGGGGGGCAGCATCGGCTCGGAGTCGGTGACACCTCGCCGACGAGTCGGCGAGGTGGGCGCTCGACGGAGACGCCGCGCGCTCCTGGGCGGGGTCGGGCATCAGGCCAAATCTTGGCGAGACGTGGGCGTGTCAGGGTAGGAGGTCTGTCCAACCCCGATCCTGGGGCGCCCGAGGCGGCGGCAGGAAGGAAAGCGAAACGGAACTGCGATCAGAAAGGCATCTCTGAGAGGCGGCGGGTCTGGGGGACGCATCGAGCGCGGCGGCCGACCCGCGGAGCGCTCTGGAACGCTCCGAGGGCGTCCTGGAATCGAGTATCTGGAGCGTTGCATCCTCCTCCTCCTCCTCCTCCTCCTCCTCCTCCTCGCGATCCTCCTGCTTCTCCTCCTCCTCCTCCTCCTCCTCCTCCTCCTCCTCCTCATCCCTCTGCTCGGAGCGGCCTTGGCCTGCCTCCTCTTCCTCCTCCTGCTCCTCGCGATCCTTGTTGGGGAGGCCGGCGATCACGGGGCCGAAAGCAGACGTGTTCTCGGCCGTGAAATTCTGCCAGGGGGCCCAGGAGACCTTAACGCTCGCTCGGCTGCGGGGCGCCCGCCCCCCTCCCCTTCATCCGCCAGGAGGCGGAGGAAGGAGGATGAGGAGGAGTATGAGGAGGGAGAGGGGAGGGAGGGAGGGAGGGAGGCAGGGAGGGAGGGAGGGAGGATGAGAAGGATGAGGAGGACAGACGCTGCGAAAACATTGTATAGTGTGATGACGGCATTGTGGTCACAGCTGCGGGTCATGACTTTGCATTTGTTGGCGACAACGAACATCCGATGACGGCGAGGGGCGGCGGGGCCACAGCTGCGACGTGCGGCCAGGGGCGGAGGGGCAAAGGGGAAGGTCGGCTCTGATCGCGGGGGCCGCTGTCGAAACCGACTGCGGCGGGGCCGGCCTCTCGCCGTTGCGCTCGCGCGCCCTCCCCACCCTCCCCCCCTCCTCCTCCTCCCTCCTCCTCTCCTCCTCCTCCTCCTTCCTCCTCCTCCCTCCTCCCCTCTCCTCCTCCTCCTCCTCCTCCTCCTCCTCCTCCTCCTCCTCCTCCTCCTTCCCCCTCCCCCTCCCCCTGCCCCCTCCTCCCCTCCTCCTCCTCCTCCTCCTCCCCTCCTCCTCATCCTCCCTCCTCCTCCTCCTCCTCCTCCTCCTCCTCCTCCTCCTCCTCCTCCTCCTCCTCCTCCTCCTCCTCCTCCTCCCTCCTCTCCTCCTCCCCGCCTCCTCCTCCTCCCCTCCTCCTCCTCCTCCCTCCTCCTCCTCCCCTCCTCCTCCTCCTCCTCCTCCTCCCCTCCTCCTCCTCCTCCTCCTCCTCCTCCTCCTCCTCCTCCTCCTCCTCCCATCCTCCTCCTCCTCCTCCCCCTCCTTCTGCTCCTCCTCCTCCTCCACTTCCTCCTCACCCCCCTCCTCCATTCCTTTTCCTTATAGAGAAACTCCTCCCTGTCGCACTCTGGGGCCAGTTTTTAGGGCGGGCCGGGCGTTTCGCCTGACACTTCCCCACCATTTCTGACTCTGACGCTTAAAAAGTGACAGCAGTTTCAAAGATGGAGGGCGGGCCGCTTTCAAAATGTGGTTCTCGCCTCAGCGCCGCGCACATTCGCTTGAAACAAATGCGCGAGCTTGACGGACTGAAGGCCGGTCGTTTTCAAAATGTGGTTTCGCCTTAGCGCCGCGCGCATTCGTTTTTTAAACAATTGACGAGCTTCACGGATTGAGGGCGGGTGCTTTTCAAAATGTGGCTCTCGCCTTAGCGCCGCGCGCATTCGCTAAAAAAACAACGCGCGAGCTTCACGCATTGAGGGCGGTTCCTTTTCAACATGTGGCTCTCGCCTTAGCGCCACGCACATTTGTTTTCAACATGTATAAGCACTTCACGGATTGAGGGCGGGTGGTTTTCAAAATGTGGTTTTCGCCTTGGCGCCGCGCACATTCGTTTTCAAACTCTGCAGAAGTTCGCGGATTGAGGGCGGGTCGTTTTCAAAATGTGGGTCTCGCCTTAGCGCCGCGCACATTGGTTCAACACATTTGTTGCAAGAGTTGCACGGGTTGGATGCGGCTCCTTTTCAAAATGTGGCTTTCGCCTTAGCACCGTGCGCATTCGTTCTCAACATTTGTAAGAGCTTCACGGCTTCCCATGTTCAACGTACCAGACATGGTGCTTTGGAAGGGTTCAGGACTATGGGGGTGCAACCATTCTGTTGATTCGCGGTGTTGAAGTCCCAAACATGGCGCTCTGTTAAGACGCAGCAGTCAGGTTGATACGTGGCGTTGAAATCCCGAGGACAATGTTTTGGCATGCTTCAGGATCTTCAAACGGTTGTCCTCCAACGAGGCAGTTCCCTCAGTGGACATGAGCCGTTGTGTGGGGGCCTATGAAGAGGGAGCTTGGAGGGAGGGTTCATTCCAACATCGTTGATGATTCTTGGTTTTATACTGGTCCTCGTCGTCGTCGTCGTCCTCCTCCTCCTCTTCCTCCTCCTCCTCCTCCCCTCCCGAAATTCGGCGGCGAGCGAGGGGAGGAAATGAAAAGGAGAAGGCCTCTTGAGAAGGCCGCGGGACTTCTCAGTAACCCTCGCGCCTTCTGAACCATCTTTTGGGGTGGCGCTCCCGCCTGAGATTTCTTGGCGCCAGACATCCCCTTTTCAGGAATTGTGCTCTCGCCTGTCACTTTTTCGCAATTTATTCAGAAATCGCGCTATCTACGCTCAGGCACCACGCTCGCGCCAAGGACACCGTCACACTTTACTTCGGAATCGCGATCTCGCCCTACTCAGGCATCCTGCTTGAATGTCCCGCCCGCCCGACCCACCCGTCAGAGGATCGCCCGCCCGTCGTGGGCTGCCGCCCGAGACTTCCTTGTGGAATGGCGGTTTCGCTTAGGATTTCTTCGAACGTTCGCACTCTTACCTTCCTGCTCCTCCTTTCTCCCGGGCCGCCTCCCCCCTCCTTCCGATTCCGCCTCCCTCAACTGATGTTGAACTTCCATCCGTGCAGAATGATTTCTGTTGGTCCCTCCCACCAGTGCGCATTGTTTTTTCTCAGTCAATAAGCGCCCTTCGACGCTCGCACCCTGTTTATTTGACAGGGAAAGGCATCCGGGTCAAACTGTGCCCCTGGGCGCCCGGCTAGAACAACAACAGCTCCCGCCTCAGTCGCGCCAGATGAAGAATATAACCCCCCACAAGGGGGGCACGATCGAAGACGAAGAGGGCGGGAATCCAACGTTTGGGATATGCATAATGAATAACACGCGGGCCGGTAGTAGCGAACAGTCTTGGAATGATTGTTGTTGTTGTTGTTGCTGCTGCTGTTGTTGTTGTTTGTTGTTGTTGTTGTTGTCGTTGTTGTTGTTGTTGTTGTTGTTGTTGTTGAACATTATTACTTCTAAAGAATAATTATTGTTGGGACCCCTGGTGCACGACCCCCCCGCCGCGCCTAGGCCGCAGCCTCATTTTCATCATTTTCGTGAGGAAGTCTCAGGCAAAACGGGTTGGTCCGGATCCGGTTGTGTTGTTACGATCGGTTATCCCTTGCAAAAAATAAGCTAAAGTGGACATTTCTTGTTCTAACATAACCAAACTTCAAGAATCCCTTGCAAAAAATAAGGTAAAGTGGACATTCGCGCGCGCAAGACGAAATCCTTCCAAAACCTTAGTTTTCGTAGCGATTTTAACATAAAAACATCAAAAAACCAATGGTTTTTCAAAAAAAATGTCAAAATTTCATCCCGCGCGCTCTTGCGGATTCGTAGGAAACCCAACACTTTTTAATCATTTCTGTCAAACGGGCTTTTGCGAGCAACTTTTTCGAACTTCTGCAACAACGGTTGCGCACCTGCCAGGGCCATCATCCCTGTCAAATAATACCATGCGGGACACATTCGTTTTTTCTTCGCGCGCGCACGCCGTCGTCGTCGGCCGCGGGGCCCTGAATATAGTAGCCACGGTCGTCCGCATGCCACGAAGTGAAGTGTCCGAACGTCATAGGGCGGGAAGCTGGGTGTGGTGGTGGCGAAGAGTCGTTTGGAAATTTTGTAGAGCTTGAACCGGCCCCCCCACAAAGTGGGGGTATTGCCCGCCTCCTATGAAAACCCTGGCACTGGTGAGAACGGTGTGTCCCCACGTGCTAGTAATTGTTGTTGTTGTTGTTGTTGTTGTTGTTGTTGTTGTTGTTTTTGTTGATTTGTTGTTGAATTCTCATTTCTGAAGAAAAAATTATTGTTGATCCCCCCCCCGGTGCATGCTGTTTTTTCTCAATCAAAGTGTGCCCCTCGACGCTCGCACCCTGTTTTTTGATAGGGAAAGTCTTGATGCTCAAACTCAGCCCCTGGCCCCCGGGTTACAACAATAACGGCTCCCGCCTTAGACTTCCTTACAATTTAGCCAGGACCCCCGCTCCCGCCCGAGACTTACTCGCATTTTATCAAGGAATCGCGCTCTCGCTTGGGACTTCCTTACAATTTATTCAGGAATCGCTCTCCTGGCGCTCTGGAGTCGCGCTCTCGCTGGAGACTCGCTTGCAACTTACTGAAGAATTGGGGGGGGGGGCCCCCCCTTGCGTTGGGGTTACTCCTGCAAATTTGCCCAAATGCCCGCGCTCCCACACCCAGGCACCCAGGAGTCGCGCCCGTTGTGGCCCCATTGCATGCCCCTTCGTGGCCCCAGCTGTCGCCCTTTGGTCCCCCCTCACGGTCCTAACGTGGCCCAAATGCTACCCCCTCAGTGGCCCCAAGTTGCCTTCTGTGGCCCCGCATTATCTGCACTTCGTGGCCCGTGCGAAGGTCACGCCTCATTCGTGGCCCATGGTTTCGTCATCCCTTCGTGTCCCCCGCTGTCGCCCTTCGTGGGCCTACTTCGTGCCCTTCGTGGCCCTGCTGTCGTTCTCATTCGCTCTCGCTTTCGCTCGTAGTCGCGTCGTCGTCCGTCGTCGTCGCCGTCTTCTTCGACGTCGTCGTCGTCGTCGTCGTCGTCGTCGTCGTGGTCGGTCCCCTGTCCGTCCCTCTTGGGGTCGGGTCGACGGTCCGCGGCCGCCCCGCCGATCAGCGCTGCCGCTGGCCAGGCCGACGGTCCGCGGCCGCCCGGCCGCTTGCCGGGGCCCGGCCTGCAGGGAAGAAAGGTATACCCCCCAAAAGGGGTTCGATCGAAAACGAACAGGGCGGGTATCGAGGGTTTGGGAAATACGCGTTATTGGACACTCGAACATATAAGGGCGAACGATCTTAAAATTATTGTTGTTGTTGTTGTTGCTGTTGCTGTTGTTGTTGTTGTTGTTGTTGTTGTTGTTGTTGTTGTTTTTGTTGTGTTGCTGTGTTGTTGTGTTGTTGGTGTTGTTGTTTGTTGTTTTCTGTTTGTGTGCTTTGACTTCCATCTATAAATCGAGATTGCATGTTCTACGTCGGCGGCTCGGCAGAGTAATGGCTCCGGCGGACGAGCATTCCCAATGGAGATACCGTGGAAGCGCAAGGTGCCACGATACAGGACACATGGAGGAAGACAGGGAGGACGCCCGAAGGCGGGGACAGGGAGCGAGGGCCGCCCAGGGGGACGGGCCGCACCCGGAGCGAGAGGCGCGGCCGGCCCCGCCGGTGGGGCGCAGGCGGCGGCTGCTGCGCCGGCCGACGGGCCACGCGCAGGAGTGGCCCCAGGAGTGGCCGTGGGCCGCGGGGGGCCAGGAGCACAAGCATGCAAGATGCAACTGTGGCGTCGCGGGCGGCGGTTGGAGGGCCCCAGTGGGCCCGCACCCACTCCGACGTGTAGTCGATCCGTGGGTGCCTTGGCCAGAAGAGAGACCTGGTCCATCCCCGCTCCACGCTGGCGCCGTGCCATGCGCCCCGGGTGGCGAACGGGAGCACTCGCGGATGATGATGATGATGATGATGATGATGATGATGATGATGATGATGATGATGATGATGATGATGGTGGAGATGATGATGATGATGGTGATGATGATGATAGTGATTGTGATGATGTTATTGATGATTATGATGATGATGATAATGATGATGGTGATGATGATGGTGATGATCATGATGGTGATGATGATGATGGTGATCATGATGGTGATGATGCTAATGATGATGATGATGATGGTTATGATGATGCTGATGATGATGGTGGTGGTGGTGCTGCTGCTGATGATTATGAATATGATGATTCTGATTATGCTGATGATGGTGATGATGACGGTGGTTGTGGTGATGCTGTTGACGATGATGATGATGCTGATGATAATGATGCTGATGGTGATGATGATGATGATGATGATGATGCTGATAATGATGATGCTGATGATGATGATGATGATGATGATGATTATGATGGTGATAGTGATGCTGACGATGGTGATGATGATGGTGATGAGTATGATGATGCTGATGCGATGATGATGATGATGCTGATGCTGATGATGCTGACGCTGATGATGATGATGATGATTATTATTATTATTATCATCATTATTATTATCATTATTATTATTATTATAATTATAATTATGATGATGATGATGATGATGATGATGATGATGCTGCTGATGATGATGATGATGATGATGATGATGATGCTGATGCTGATGCTGATGCTGATGCTGATGCTGATGCTGATGCTGATGCTGATGCTGATGCTGATGATGATGATGATGATGATGATGATGATGATGGTGGTGGTGGTGGTGGTGGTGGTGGTGATGGTGGTGGTGGTGTGGTGGTGCTGCTGCTGATGATGCTGATGAAGGCTGACGCGGATGGCGACTGGCCCGCGGGGAGGTCCGAGCGTGTCATACAGAACACCACGTGGGTTCAACTAATCGGATAAGTGCTGGAGGAGGAGGGGCAGCTGGAGAGAGCAGGGGGGTGGGAGCAGGGACGAACGGAGGGGGGAGGAGGGGCATGGGAGGAGGAGGAGGAGGAGGAGGAGGAGGAGGAGGAGGAGGAGGAGGAGGAGGAGACGGAGGAGGAGGAGGAGGAGGAGGGAGAGGAGGTAGGAGGAGGAGGAGGAGGAGACGCAGGAGGAGGAGGAGGAGAAGGATCCCATCGTGCGGGATGGGGTGGACGCGCGTCTCCTCACGCCCCGTCGCCGCCCCGCAACCCGCGCGGGCGAGGGAGCTCACGCCCTCCTCGAGGGTGTCGAGGGCGAGTTCGGCAGCGGCTCCTCCTCCTCCTCCTCCTCCTCCTCATCCTCCTCCTCCTCCTCCTCCTCCTCCTCCTCCTCCTCCGGCGAGGCGCCGGCGAGCCGCTGTGACCATCTCCTTCTCCTCCGAGTGACATGCAGTGGAGGCCAGTCCACAAGAAATCTCCCACAGGAAACCCAACCCCGAGACTCCAGGGCGTCCACTCCTTCCTGGTGTGGGAACGTCACGCCGTCCACAGCAAAACCATCGAAACCGAAGAAACCAAAGGCACCCTGGAGGCACGCGGGGTGTTTCTCTGCATGGGCCCCCACTGTAGGCAGTTCCGCTTGAGCAGTGTCAGCAGGTTCATGGCAGCCCGCAGCAGGCCAAGGCACATTCGGAGGGCGTTGTTCATACTGGTCGGCACCCGAGATAGAACATTGTTACGACGAGTTTGAGACATCTAGTCCCTGGGAGGGTCAATTTCCAATTCATCACCTCCGCCGTCGAGTGTGCACAAGTGGTAATAATTCAGCGTTGATTCTCGCTCCTGCTCGTAGCGCAAGCCGCGACTCAAAACGACAGTCACGCCTGTGGCTCCGTCGCGCCCTTCCCGATATAGATACGACAGCCAGATCACAGGACGTGATTTGCAGTGCGGCGACTGGCATAGAGCATCAAACACTCGACTTCGTCGAAGATATGTGGCGAGAATGGGGAGAAAGATGAGGAACAGTAACCAATACCAAAAAGGTGTAACGAAAATCCCGCAACATGTCGACGACAACCGTCAAGACAGGACCCGCCTCGAGTCTGGAACCCCGTCTTGACTGCCCTGATAACACCCTCCAAGCCGAATGCGGTGTGCAGCGCCCCAACCGAGAACGTAAACTGTGACTTCAGATCAGACTCGAATGCGAAGAGCTCTCCGATTCTAGGCCGCGCGCCTGCGTTTCTGTCACGCGCCCAGGGACCAAGTAGCCTTGGTTGCCAAGAGACGCGTCGCGGAGCACCACAGCGATGAGCACCGGCGATAACACTGCAACGTGTATTTCCCTCACGTCTGGCGGGATCTCGCGGGACAGCCTGGCGACGGTCAAGGTAACACAAGCAAAGAGAAAACCATGCACATCTAGTGCTCCCACAATACGGACATTGGCAAACACACGCGCGGTTTCACATACGTCGTGCAACAAGTGCACACGCAGTGTGACACAGCAACACTCATCCCTTCCCAAAGTAACGAGACCTCGAAATTCTTCCACCCTGGTGCGGCTAGGCTGGCGTACTGTGCGCAAACACTTGTGTATGCACGCCGGGCTTGCGTCGAACGTGGTTCCCAAGGATATACATACGATCGTCACGGAAGCACGAGAAACATAATGCAACGTACGCTGCGCTGGGAGAAGCCATGCAAAGCCAACCCCGGCCATTGTAGATCGTGGTACGTAGTTATAGTGCAAGGTAGGGCATCGATTTATTTTGAGTGGGAGGTCGAGAGGGTTTCAAAGGGTTCTCCTCCTCCTCCCTCCTGTCTGCTCCCTCCTCTTAATCCTCCCCTTCCTCCTCCCTCCTCGTCCCTCCCCCTTCTCTCACACCTTTTTCCTTGCAAGCGCCCTTCCTCAGGATGCTGATGCCGTGCAGTATCTCTACCGCTCTGTCCAATGCTACGATCTCCAATTCGACAGCCGAGTGTACGCAGTGAACATATTCGTACAAATATCCAACATATGTATATTCGAACAAATATCCAACCTTCTCTCACACCTCCACCTCCTCCTCATCCCTCTCCTGCTCGTCGTTGTCGTCGTCACTGTCGTCCATTTCTCTGCCTTCTTCCCTGTCTCGCGAACAACGTGTTCGCAGGCTGGGGACGGGCGTTTCGATACCGAAATTCCTAGACATTGGTGTATGCCGATGTGAACACGTGCAAGCCGTTGCAAGTATGCAGGGCCAGTGGCTTCCAGCATGCAGCTCCCACCGTCGGGACGCGTACATTCGTTTCAAACAGGCTCTCGCTTGAAACTTCTGCGGGTATCTTGGCCAAAGCTGTGACTTCCTGCAACGTTTGCACGGATTGAGGGCAGGCCATTGTCGAAGTGGGGCTGTCGCTGTACATTTCCTGGAACTTTCTCATCTTACCCCTCTGCATTTCTCTTCGCTGGAAGGGTGGAGAGGGCATCCCTGAAAAAACGGGGCTCGTGATTGCGGCCCACTGGGCATTCAAGGGGGGGGGATCGCTTCTCGCGGTGGGGATGAACAACTGCAGGGACTTCTGAGGGGACTTTGGACTTGTCTGTGTGTGTGTGTGTGTCCTGCAATATCGTTGATGCATCCTGGGATTAATTTGGCCCTCCTCCTCCTCCTCCTCGTCTCTGAGCGTATCTTGTTATCTGCACGGGCTCAGGTCACACCGCGTATGCCGTGCAAATATGGCTGCCTCTTCCGCCACCTCCACCTCCCCCCTCCTCCTCCCTCCTGCCTCCTTGCTCCTACCTCCCCCCTTCGTCCCCCTTGCTCCTCCGTCAATCCTCCCTGCCCGGGCCTCCTTCTCTTCCGCCCCCCCCACCTCCACTCTCCTCCTCCCTCCTTCCTTCGCACTCCTACCTCCTCTTCGTCCTCCCTCCTCCTCCACCGTCTCCCTGCACGGGCCTCCGCCTCTTCCGCGCCCCCCCCCCCCCCCCACGTCCTCCTTCCTTCGGCGGCGAGCGGCGAGCCTGGGGGAGGAGCGCGAAGGGGCGGGCCCTGTCAGAAGTTCCCCGGCCTTCTGAGAATGGCTTCTACGTAAGCCTTCCCCGAAGACACGAAGCACCTCTCAGAAGGCCAGAGGCTCTCTGGAAGGCTCCGCCGCCTTCTGAGGAGGCCTTCTCCTTCTCGTCTTCCCCTCGCTCGCCTCCTCCTCCTTCATCTCCTCTTGCCTCTTCGTTCTGATCCTTCTCCTTCTCCTTCTCGTCCTCGTTCCTCGTCCTCGTCCACGTCCTTCTCCTCCTCCTCCTCCTCGTCCTCGTCCTCGTCCTTCTCGTGCCTCCTCCTCCTGACCCTCCTCCTCCTCGTCCTCGCCCTCCTGCACCTGCGGGCCGCCCCTGGCCCAGCCGGCGTCCGCCCTCTCGACGTCGTCGTCGTCGTCGTCGGCGTCTTCGCCGGCGCCGGCGTCGTCGTCGTCGTCATCGTCGTAGTCGTCGTCGTCGTCCTCGGCGTCTTCGCCGGCGTCGGCGTCGTCGTCGTCGTCGCAACCGTCGTCGGCGTCGGCCTCGGTCGTCGTCGTCGCCGCTGAAAGCCTCGCGAAGCCTCCGAGACGACGCCGACGCCGACGCCGACGCCGACGCCGACGACGCCGACGACGACGACGACGACCACGACGACGACGACGACGACGACGACGACGACGACGACGACGACGACGACGACGACGACGCGCCGCGCGCTCCGCCGCCTCCCCGTTCGCGCGCGCGCAGGTGCCGCGCGGCGGCGGCGCACGCGGGCGCGGCGCGCCTCATGCCCAGGATGGGCTGTGCCGTGAGGAGCGCCGCGGCATTCACCTCGACGCTCTTGCACGCGAACCCGTCCCCCTCGAACCCGACCTTGCAGCGGCACCTGTCCCGACGCCCCGCCTCCACTCCGGCGACTTCCTGGTCCCGTTCTGAGTGCCGGTGCTCGGCCTGCATCTGCTTGGCTGATCAACACCTCGCGCGGCCCGCCTGGACCATGACACGCCGCTGTTGCGCTCTCGCTCGCGGCTGTTAACGAAAAACAAAAAAGGAAACGCCCGCGGACGTCGGGACCTGCGCCTTATAGCGCGCATTCCGAGGCGGCGGCGGCCGAGGCGGCGGCGGTCCGAGGAAGAAACAGCGCCATAAACATACACTTTTTGGCGCTCCGCCAGGATGTCTTGGATCTGCGCCGGACCTCCCTCCCTGGAGAGCGGAGCGCGCCAGGTGCCAGGGGGCCCAGCGCGGATCCAAGAACTCCGCGCGGACCGCCAAACATTAGTGTTTATGGCGTTTTTCTTCTTCGAGAGGTTGCGCGTCGGCATGCGGCGAGGGCCGAGGTCAACCTGTGGCCGCGCTCTGCTCTCGTGGGGCCCCTGGAGGCCTTTTTGGGCAGGGCACGGTGGCGCCCCCAAGAAGCGTCGCTGGGAAGCGGCATTTCGCGGGAAGAGAATCCCGCCGGATCTTTCGGCGTGGATGCTTTAACGCGTCACGCCCTTCTTTCGCGGGTGGATCTTCCAACGCCCTTCTTCCCCTCCGATCTCACGATCGTTGTCACTATCGATCTGACCATCGGACTCACTATCAATCTCGCTATCGATATCATCATCGGTCTCACTATCGAACTCACTCTCAGTCCCACTATCGATCTCACGACTGATCTCACCCACCGGCGGAACGCCGACGGGACGCCGACAGGACACCGACGGGACACCAGCGGGACACCGATGGAACAACGACGGGACAGCGACGGGCCAACGCCGGGACACCAACAGAACACCGACGGGACACCACGGCGGGACGCCCGGGCGAGACAGCCCAGCCGCCGCCCTTCCCGCCCACCGCGGGAGGTGCGGACAATTGGCTCGCCCCGCCCTGGCAGCAGCGGAGCCATCCCTCTCGCCCGCCCACGCAGCTTCGCCCCGCCCGCGCGCACGGCAAGCGAAGCCGAAGCTGAGAGCAACTTCCCAGGTGGGGGGCTAGCCGTTCCACTGCGATCTGAGCCCCCGACCTCCGATCTCTCGTCCTTCCTCCAAATCCCTCTGTACGGTAGGTTCGTGCGGCGTCGGCGCGCGCGAAGGTTTTTGACACCGCGTCGATCGTTCAATCTTGAATCGATCGCGGCCCCGATTGTTCAAGGTTGAATCTAGTCGGGTCCAATGGCATTACCGTGCCCATCGGTGCATCCGCGTCGCAGATTTCAACCTTTAACGGCTTCGCTGGTGTCGCCAACGCGCCATCGCCGCATGAACCTTCCGTACCATGGTCGATCCTCCTCTTCATACCCTTCCCCGCGCCCCGCAGACAGTTTGACCCGGCGTCGCGTCTTGCCTTCCCCCTTCCGCCTGTCCCCGCAGACGGGGCGCGCCAGGGGCGGCGCCGGAGGCGCCGCCAGGGGGGGCCAGCGCGGATCCAAGAGATCTGCGCGGAGCGCCAACCGTTTATGGTTATGGCGGTTTTTATTCTTCGACGTTCCTACGCGGGCATGACCATGCCCTGCCCTTTCTGCGTTCACCTCCCCATCTGCGCCTTTTCCTGCTGATCCTGCTGCTCCTGCTGCTGCCGATCCTCCGTGCCCTCATGCCAAACTCATGCTATGCTCTCTCAACCCCTCCTCCCTCCCTCATCCCTCGCTCGTCCCCTCCTCCTCGTCGGTCGTTTCTCGGCACTCCTCCCTCGTCCATTGTGATCATTGGTTCATCGCCCCTTGCTCCCTCATCCCTCCCTCGCCCTTCGTTTCCCTTCCCGCCTCCTTCCTCCCTCCCCCTTCTCCCTCCTCCGAATATTCGTCTTGTTTCTCCTCGTCCACCTCTACTTTCCGCCCTCCTCACCCCCCGCCTTTCTCGTCCGTTTTTTCTTCCTCCGATCTCCCCTTTTTCCCACGCGTCTTTGTTCAGTTGTGTTCCCAACTGCTGCTGCTGCTGCCACTCCTCCATCGCATGCGCCCCCTTCTGCCCTTCTCCAACTCTCGCTGGCCGCCCTCCTCATCCTCCTCCTCCCGCATGCTCGTCCTCCTCCTGATCCAAGACCTTCCTCCTTCTCCTCCTCGTCCAGCATCTCCCCCCTCGTCGTGACTGGATGTGCTCCCCTTCCCTCGCTACTCACTCCCCGTTCCCAATTCTTGGTTCCACGCCTTCCCCAGAGGAGCAAAAAACAACATAAACAAAAACTTTTGGCGCTCCACGCGGATTTCTTGGATCTGTGCTCTACCCCCCTCCCTGGCGCGCGGAGCGCGCCAGGGGCGGCGCCAGAGGCGCCGCCGAGGGGGGCCCAGCTCGGATCAGAGAAGTCCGCGCGGAGCGCCACAAATTCATGTTTATGGCGTTTGTCCTTCTTCGATCCTCGCTCCTCGTTCCCAATTCTTGGTTCTACGCCTGCCCGCTCTTCATCTGCCCTCTCCTCCTCACCCCTCCACCCGATCCTCCCCCGCCGCTCACATCTTTGTGTGTTCGTTCTTCGTCTCTCGGCCCTCCCTCCTCGTTCCAGAGTCCCGCGCCATCGTTCCTACCCCCTCGCTCCGCACTCTTTCTTTCGGTCCTTCGTTTCGCCATTGGCACTCCCCGTCCCCCGCTGCTCACTGCACACTTGGCGTCCGTCGTTTCGCCTACTTGTCCTTCCTGTGCAGCCTCCCTCATTATCTTTATGTTCCTCTCTCTCTCTCTCGCTCGCTCCCTCTCTCAACATATGTATGTATGAGTATTCGTACTGTTATTGCTATTCTAACTATTTCATTTCTATTAGTACTAGTATGATTACTGTCATCATTAGTCGTTCTCTTTCTCTCTCTCTCTTTCTCTCTTTGTCTGATTCCCCTTTTCTTTTATGGCGGTTTCTCTCCCCTTCCTGGCTGCCTTTCCCTCGTCAAGAGCCTTCTCAACCTACGCTCCCTCAACACACAGGATCCCGTAGCCTTGAATGTGAGCTGGACAGGACGCACTCCCTCCAGCGAGGGCCGCTCCGTACGAAAGTGAATCCTGCCACCGATGTGCTGCCTCGGGCTGGTTCTAACAATAAATCAAAACAATGGTTAAGAACAGACTTGCCCAAACCATCCGGGACAGCGCTGTGGCAGCACACGTTCATGCACTCCTTCAAACACTCTACGTCCCAACGCTCGGGGCGCCCTCATCACTTGATGAGCGGGCTCGCGAAGAGAAACATCAACGCCATGACGAGGCCGTAGATCGTCAGCGACTCCATTAACGCCAGCCAAGGACAACAAGAACACGCCGCGGAGATAGAGGCCTCCTGAATAGAGTCCGAATAGATGGGGTCACAGCGTCGCGCTGCATCGCCGATGCATCGCTGATGCATGGCTGATGCATCGGCGACGTCAGTGATGCATCCGTGTCATCGTCGTGGAGGGAATCGGGCTCCACATCGAACCGCATTGTCGATGCATCGGCAATGCGGCGCGATCCTCCAACCCCATCTACTCCGATCCCATCTGGGAGGCTTAGGGAGATCGCCAGCCACCCGTAACTTGTTCGGCTGCGCGGCAGGGTGCCTGATTCGACGAGTCAACACTCCTAGCTGCACTGTTTGGTCGGTCTGGTCCCCGAGGTGCCGGGAGCCCTCGAGGGTGTGGCCGTGTCGGGGTGGGGAGCACGCCCCAGTCGCCGGCCCCCCGCAGGTGGGGTGGGGCGGCGCTTGTGCGGCAGGGCAACCACAGCTGTGGCTGCAGTGAGCGGGGCGCAGTAGTACTCCTTGAATTTTCTCCCCGCGAAAATTGAAAAAAAAACATTACGAGCCCGCAGCGCCAGCCCCCAGAAGAACCCCAGAGCTGGGAAGTTTATGCTCGTGCGGTGACAGGCGGGGGCATCAACTTCCTAATTGCTCTGGGGCAGGCGTCCCCGATCGCGGAACACATTGTGCTGTACAGCGGGACCTGGGACAGAATCACACCCTTCAAGGAACACGAGACCCTCCGCTGGCCCAGACGGAAGAGCATCCGAGGGTATCACCCCCCCCAAAATGCACAAGGACCCCAACAGACGCGAAAAACGTTGGGGCACCCTCCCCGAACCGACCTCGGTCTTACACCTCGGTTCGATTGCATCGTTCTTCGCCCGCTAGGGTTATGTCGGGCCTGTCCCCCTACAAGGGGGCTTTTCGACGAAAAATAAAACATACTCCAAACATACACCGAAAAGGTCAAACACATACAAAAAATAGTCCCCAGACTATTTTTGGATTTTTGATTATTTTTTGGGTATTTACTTGACAGCTTGTGCTGAAAGGTTTCTAACAGTGTCAAAAGAGAGCATCATGCCACTCCAGAGGGGGTCCGGGCGGAAGCCGGCAGAAACCGGGAGAGTCCGGCGGAGCTCATTCCGTGCGTGCAGGTACGCACGGGAGCCACCTCGGCGCCATCGGAGGTGCGTTCCGTGCGTGCAGGCGCGCACGGGAGCCACCTCGGCGCCATCGGAGGTGCGTTCCGTGCGTGCAGGTACGCACGGGAGCCACCTCGGCGCCATCGGAAGTGCGTTCCGTGCGTGCAAGTACGCACGGGAACCACCTCGGCGCCATCGGAGAAGCGTTCCGTGCGCGCAGGTACGCACGGGAGCCACCTCGGCGCCATCGGAGGTGCGTTCCGTGCGTGCAGGTGCGCACGGGAGCCACCTCGGCGCCATCGGAGGTGCGGCTGAGGCTGAGGCAGGCTGAGGCTGAGGCTGAGGCTGAGGCTGATGCAGGCTGAGGCTGATGCAGGCTGAGGCCGCAGGAGTATGCGGGGGCGCAGCAGCAGGCTGAGGGAGGCTGAGGCAGGGCTGAGGCTGAGGCTGAGGCTGATGCAGGCTGAGGCTGAGGCAGGCTGAGGCCGAAGGGGTATGCGGGAGCGCAGCGTGAGACTGACGCAGGCTGAGGCTGAGACTGAGGCTGATGCAGGCTGAGGCTGAGGCAGGCTGAGCTGACTTGTCCTGTGGAGCTCCAGTGCCGCAGAAGATGCATCTGTAGCTTCCTCGTCGCATTAGGGGCTCCAGCGTCGCCGAATTTGTCCTTTTACCGTCGCTGTCGTGCCGCGGGGCGCTTCAGCGGGCAATCATGCGCATGAAATGCGCCATGCGCCTGCGCGCTCACGAAGAGGGCCAGGGCGCCCTGTCGCCTGCGGGCGACCGCGCGGGCTTGCCCCCGCAACAGCCAAAAAAGGGCATGCCCACACGCCGGGTAAAGCCTAAAAGGGCTTTCGTCTGCCTGTTCCTTGCCTCCCGCTCTCCTCCTTCTTCTTTCATCGACGTCAGAACCCCCGCCCCCTATGACGCTCCCCGTTGGCTTGGGTGGTCTACTCAGGTCGCGGGGGGGGATCGGGGGGGGTCGTTGCCACGGCTGGTGCCTCGTTTTCACGACGGGGACGAAGGGGTGCACCGTTCCCTCGGATGGGCGGATCCCCCCCTCCAGGGGCTTCCGAGCCTTCCCTCTCCGTCCTTTCCTTCTCCTCTCCCCCTCGGACTTCAACGACTTTGGCGTCTCCGACGACCCCCTTGGGGAATTCTTAGTAGTAGTAGTAGTAGTAGTGGTAGTAGTAGTAGTAGTAGTAGTAGTAGTAGTAGTAGTAGTAGTAGTAGTAGTAGTAGTAGTAGTAGTAGTAGTAGTAGTAGTAGTAGTAGTAGTAGTAGTAGTAGTAGTAGTAGTAGTAGTAGTAGTAGTAGTAGTAGTAGTAGTAGTAGTAGTAGTCGTAGTAGTAGTAGTAGTAGTAGTAGTAGTAGTAGTAGTAGAGTAGTAGTAGTAGTAGTAGTAGTAGTAGTAGTAGTAGTAGTAGTAGTAGTAGTAGTAGTAGTAGTAGTAGTAGTAGTAGTAGTAGTAGTAGTAGTAGTAGTAGTAGTAGTAGTAGTAGTAGTAGTAGTAGTAGTAGTAGTAGTAGTAGTAGTAGTAGTAGTAGTAGTAGTAGTAGTAAGTAGTAGTAGTAGTAGTAGTAGTAGTAGTAGTAGTAGTAGTAGTAGTAGTAGTAGTAGTAGTAGTAGGGCCACATTTGTAATGCCCAGATCCAACTGTAGGCCACTTCGTGTTCGTTGAGTTCCCAGAGCTCCATTCCCGGGCCACATAGTTCCCAGAACTCCATTCCCGGGATACATTTTGAATGCCCCGAGCCAGCTGTAAGAAACTTCGTGTTCATCGAGTTCCCAGACCTCTATTCCCAGGCTGCCTTTTGCTTGCCGTCCTTGTGTTCTTAGCGCTATTACTGAGGCGTTCGAAGCCTCCCGCGCTCTTAATACAATCCAATTTTCCCTCTGCCTCTGATAGCCGTCTTTGGTCCAGAACGTGTCTCCGACATTCCAATGCCCCTCGCCGCAAGGTGCCTGTCCTGCGCAGTCGACATTGCAATGGCCTTCGCCTCGCCGCGAGACTCGTCCCCATCGTCGGCCTCCCGCGGTGCTTCTCAGCATGCGGGGAAGGACCGAGGCGCGTCTGCGGCCGCGCCTGCTCGCGCTACTCCTCAGCCTGAGTCTTTCACGGTCGCCTCCTTTAACTTCGGGTTCGAGCAGCCAATGATGTCCGGAAAGAGGTCCAGCACCCACTGCGCCAACTTTGGGCGGGTGTGCGCCACGATCGTCGAGGACGCTGATGCTGACCTTTTCTTTGCGTGCGAGGTCGGCGCGTTTCGTCAGGGCCTGAGCAAAGCAAAAATCCACGTTGATGACGTCCTGAAGCCGTTCGGCGACAGCGTTCGCTTCTCCGAGGTCGACAACTACTTGAGCTTGTGGGGCTTCGGTGGTGCTTCTCAGCCAGCCGTTGTGTCCCTGCACGGCGACGCACGGATCTACAACGTCCCCTGTCGCGGCCCCGGAGCTTCGGCCAGCTCTTGAGCCACGGCTTGCCTGACCGGAGCATCATCGAGTCAGGCCCCCCAGAACAGATCGCGAAGGCCTTCGACGAATTCTTCGCAGACAAGATTGCCACGACAAAAATCGCCTGCGCGAAGGCCCGAGAGGCGCTGGGCTGGCCTGCGCGAGCTTGACGAGCCCTGAGATGCAGAATGCTTTGTGGCGGTGCTGTTCAGCCTGGCCGTCTGCATTCGCGTGGTTCTTCTCAGCCTGCATTCGTGTGGTGCTTCTCAACCTGCACTCGTGTGCAGCCGTGGATAGTGAGATACGGTGCTCCTCAGCACGTTTCGTTTGAGGCTGAATCCATTGATAGCAATGTCTCGTTTGGACTTACATCCATTGATAGCAGCGTCTCGTTTGGAATGAACACAAACACAATGTGCTGTCTCGTTGATAGCAGTGCCTCCTTTGCAGAGACATCCACTATTGATAGCAACGTCTCGTTTCCAGACGCATCCGTAGTAGTAAGTAGTAGCGTCTCGTTCGAAATTAAATCCATTGGTACTCGTGTCTCGTTTGGGGCGGAAACCATTGATAGCAGCGTCTCGTTTGCACCTACACCCCTGCATAGCAGCGTCTCGTTCGGAATGAGCACAAGGATGTGCTGTCTCGTTGATAGTAGTGCCTCCTTTGCAGACACGCCCACTATTGATCGCAGCGTTTCGCTTCCAGTCAAATCCGAACATGAATCTAAAGAAGAATGCTTCCATATATGCTCATACGCATGGCCGTTAGGTTGCTTTGCTGGGATAATTCTTATCTTTCGTCGAAAATCCCCCTGTAGGGGGACAGGCCGACTTATCGCCAGAGAGCAGCCCTCTGGCTCCCTGCCGAGCCCATGTCGGCGTCCGAGCCCGCTCGGCCGGCCGCCCGCCGGGCTCTCGACTCGAGCCAGGCCTTCAGGCCCGAACCCCTCGGCCCGCCAGAAGGGCCTCAGAGGTGGACTCCGCTGGGGTGCTGCCAGAAGCGCCCCTGGCCCAGGGTGCCCCCCAGCTTTTCGCTCCCCTTGGTAGGGGGCCACATGCGAACCCTACCCCTGCCCTCCTTGGTTTCTGAGTGGGAGGGTGGGGTTCACTTCGTCCGGGAGCTCCCGAGCGAAGTGAACCCCACCCTGCCCCTCAGAAATCGTGGGGGGTATGGGGTAGGGTTCGCATTTGGTCCCCTATTGGGGGGCCCCTGGGGCCCCCTGGGCCTCGCGAGGGGCACCCTGGAGGCCGTCTGGGCCACCCCGAGAGTCCTGGGGGGCACCTTGGGCCAGGGGTACCTCCAGCAACACCCGGTCCGAGGGCGAGGAGGCTCGGGGAGAGGCCCCACGACTGCGCTCCGACGCCTGGGCCCGAAGTTACCGCGAGGCGTGCGCGCCGTGCTCGTGGGCACGCACTGCGCCGGCCTCACGCTCTCGCGGCGTATTGGGCCTTGGAGGTCTCAAGATGTCTTCCCCAACGCTCAGGGTGGCTCGAAGTCGGACCCAGAGCAACTCCAAGAGAGT